CTGTCAGCTCTGACTCCTCCGACATCACAACTTCTTCAGAGGACGACAGCTCGGACTCTGATACTTACATCTATGGCGCTAACATCAACAGCTACGAGAACAACAAGGTCAAGCACAAGGAATGGGAGGATTTCGAGGATTTCACCGTGAACCTGATGCGCCAATGTAACATTGCACAGCTGGATTCATTCCGCCTGCACATTGTTGGGAGCAGAGCACCTAAGTTTGGCAATAGACAGGCAGCAGGATGGCTCCGTCGCGCGATGAAATACTGCACCCCAGACCGGCCCAGACAGCATGGAGGAGTGAGCTCTGGTTCTTGGCATCTCAAAAGCCTCCATCTCTGCCATGTACTTCTGGATAACGGTTTCATGAAGCGTGTTAATTCAGTGTGCCGCTCTTTGGAGGATTTGGAGCTGGACGACTGCAGTTGTCAAATTGAGTCAGTCACCTCCCAGTCTCTGAAGACCATGGTTCTGAAGAATTGTAGATGGCGCAATCTTTCTGTGATTGCATCGCCCACACTGAAGACACTGGTTATTGATGGCGGCTCGAATACTGATGACTCTGGGCTGGTTATCTTGGCTCCTGCTGTTTCATATCTGAACCTGGCTGTGAAGGCTGACCAATTTTGTGGTGGTGTTTCAATAAATGAGGTGCCATCCCTTGCCAAAGCTTCAATTCGTATAAAGGGTCACGGTCACTTATATAGTTTTGTCAGAAGTAAACTTGATGGCGATCAGTTTAAGCTTCTTTGTAGCATATCGAATGTGACAAGTTTAGAGTTGTCAGGTGTCGGGTCGAGGGTATGCCTTCGCTGTCTCTGGCAATTTTCCAATTTATTCACTCCAGTAATGTTATTGTACTATCTAAGTATCTATAATGTACTTCAGGTGCTCGGAAAGGAACCCAGATTCCAAAAATTCAAGAACCTGAGGAACTTAATGCTGAACAAATGTAATCTCAGTGACGACTTCCACATATTGGTATTCTTTCTTCAGAGTTCACCTATTCTGGAGAAGCTCACTTTGCGGTGCTGCAAGGTATACTGTAGTTTGGTTCTTAAGTTCTTACTTAACCAACATGGTTCATCAGTCTTACATCTTTTGTGCTGCCCACAGTTCCCAAAACATTCTAGCAAAAAGAAAGGAACGCCCGTACTCAACACCATACTTAACAAGACATCTTCTGAGCTCCGTGGACTGGATTTGCTGTGTGAGAACCTCAAGGTTGAAATCATATATAAATATGGCTATGGCCTACACCTTGTCCAGCTTCTGATGCGCATTTCAGTGAATCTGTTGGAGAATAACATTAAACTCACCAAAGTTAATTAGTGTTATTGGTATCCCAGGCCTTCTATGTTTCTCACCGTATGGTTCACATGTAGAATTTAGTTGCACATTATAGGTTCCCTTCAGATGCCCTAAATCGCAAGCTATGATGAAGACCTTGCTGTATTGACTATTATGCTATTGATTATTACTCTTTTTCTTTGCTTAAGGATATGACTGCCTCTGGAAAATATCTGTTTTAAGCCCTGTGTACTGTGTCTGTGTCAACTGTGCACCTACATGTTTGCTGCTGTGTTTACTTACTGAAACTGTCTCCAATTATAAAACACCGCAAGCTTGGAAAAAATGCTCGGAAATCACATGTTTTCTTCTGTTTTTTTTCTCTCCCTGGGAATCTTGGGACTAGCCAGACAGGTACATACTTTCGAAAACTATACAGCAACTCGAATTCATCCCACTTTTTGGGTCTAGAGATTGCTTGAGGCTGTGCTGACTACACATGAACTGAACACATAATCACCGAGTGCACCTTATCTCCCAGACCTAGTCAGTGAGTACACATTATCTCCCAGCTTCCGGACAATAGAGATTCAAGGGAATTAGGCCTGCTTTTACGTGTGATGGCATTTGTCAAAGCATCATGGATATTGGTCAGTGCGTCCCATCATTGCTCAAGTGCAGGATATAAATTGAGCAAGTAGCTACTCGGTAATCAAGACCTGCAGAGAGCTAAGTAAGATAGCTGATGCTCTTGCTAGAAAGGCAAGATGGGCAAGCATCTAGAATTCATTCCTTTTGTGTTGCCAAACAGTTGCTCATTCTCCAACTTGTAATATGAAGCATGTTTTAGGAAAATTCGACCGTGGTAACATGATCCTTATAACCTATTTTGTGATGCAATGCAAGTATTTTTTTTTAAAAAAAAGAAGAAGATATGATGCCCAAAAATATAAAATATATAAATGGCTACTTATTTCATAACAGCACAAAACTAACATATGCAATATTCTTGTATATAATCGAATACTTGTATGGAGTGACACTACTATAGAAATGGTTTCCCCTTATGGTAACCGCCAATTCTATTAAAGTTGGTGGTGATGATCTATCACCGCTAATTTGAAATAGGACTGACGGTGAAAATCATTTTCACCACGGGTTCATATCTTAAACTAGCGGCGAAACCCAGTTCAGTTTTTACTATAGGTTTCCACCAGCGGTGGAAAACGGACCTAGGTGCATTATCGCTCTCACCCTAGGCGTCGCCACCCTCTTTTTCTCTCTACCTCACCCACCACTTCAGCCCGCCCTTCCTCTCCCAAGCGCGGCAGCGGGGCTCGCCTCCCCTCAGGAGCATGGTTTAGGACAATGACGACAACACAGGGATGACATCGACGGTAGCGTACGAATGGCCAATTTTTTAATGATCTATTCACTTTTCACTATCGATCTGTAATCGATGACAATGAACTCTATTTTTACCGCCCATTTTTATTGTCGCCGCGCAAAATCGACGATGATAGGGGGTTGAGGCCCAGCAGTGATGAGATACTTGTAGTAGTGAGAATTGCATGTCTTTTATATTAGGGAAGAAAATATTCCATACAAAGAACCATTGTCCGTTTTAAGTAGGCATATTAGGATTCACTACGAGAGATTGGGCCTTCTATGACAACATTTTTTAGTCATAGAAACGATGTGTTTATGACAATTTTTCTTTGGATGATAAGCGTTTGTGACTAAGTTGTGATTTAGTCATAAACAACCATCACCATGTGCCTTTCCCAATCTTTGTGACAATAGCTCATGACGAAATTGATGGAATGTGATGGTCATAAATTAAAAATCATTTTTTAATACTTGGTGTGTGCTGTATGGGTGGGGCACTTTGTTGGCCATTACAAAATTAGTTAAAGCTGTAAAAATATTATGAAAATTTATGAGCATTTTGCCCTGTAGAACAAGCATCATAATCCTTGGACTGAAAATCACACTAAACAATGCAGTATAAAGGACAAATTGACCCCAGGAAAGACTGGACTGGATCCTATTTTGAGAAGCAGATAACTGATGCTGATGCATTCCCGAAATGTCTAGTAGTAGCACCTGTTGATTCATTAGCATGTAAAGAAAAGAAACGGCTTGCGCAGGTAGGTCCCAGACCCTGAACAGTAACGAGATATAAAATATATAAGCAAGCATTTTCACCAGGTACAAGGATCAATGCCAATCACCAGGTAGGCAGGTACATCTGATTCTGATCCCCTTCAAAGAAAAAATTTAATCACAGCCATATCATCACAAAAGAGGTACAATGACGTGAAAAAGACCATAATTGTCACGGTCAGTTAGAAGCAGCGGAGGGCCTAACCTCCTGTAGTGATTTAAAATAAAGTTTCTTTAAAGGTATACTTGACTCTCAATTTGTCTTACATACTGAACAATGGTCGTTAAAAGATCATTGGAAGATGGGTTTATTCAATACCCCCTGTTCAATAAAATATAAGGTGTTTTAGTTTTTGTCCCAAGTTAAAACTTTAAGTTTAACCAAATTTATATATAAAAAAATATAGAAGCACCTTACAAACACCAACTTAGACAAACATCAAATTTGATCAAACTCGAAGAAGTTTAATTTAAGACAAACCTTAAAGACCTTATTTTGATAATGAGAAATTATACAATATGCATATAGTTTGGCTAATTATTAGTCAAAATCTTATGAGGTTTGATTTTAACCATAATTTCGAGTGGAGGGATTTCTTTAGAGAATGGTAATAATTGCGTTAAAAAAAGCATACGAATCCTGCATAAACAAAATATATGGGATTTGCTCAAAAAAATAAAAATATGGAATAATAAAGCTTTTTTTAGTAGAATAATAAGGGGGTGTTTGTTTATTTAGTCGTTCTTAAAATTCATGTCACATCGAATGTTTAAATACTAATAAAGAGTATTAAATATAGATTAATTACAAAACCAATTACATAGATGGAGGTTAATTTGCGAGATGATTTTTTAAGCCTAATTAATCTGTCATTAGCACATGTTTACTATAGCGCTACGTTGTCAAATCATGAACTAATTAGACTTAAAAAATTCGTCTCGTAAATTAATCATAAATTATATAATTAATTTTATAATTAATCTATATTTAATACACCATGCACCACGTGTCTAAACATTCCACGTGACACCGATTTTACAGAACCTAAAGCTAAAACTCGGTCGCGGCAGCCCACAACAGGGCCGGCCCAGAAACACAGCTCCTCTTCCCCCAAATTCCCCAGCCCTCTCGCGGCGCCGGCGCCGGCGCCGCCCCTCTCGCTGCTGCGTCTCCTTCGGCTGGAGCAGCTCCTCCCCCCACGGAAGGTTCTGGCTGCGGCGCTCGGTAAGCCCCATTCTCCGGCTGCACATCTCTCGCCCCGCTCCCCGTACCATTGACTGGTTTGCTTTCGGCCCTTCGTGAACCCTTCTTGATTTCAATGTTCCGATGAAGAACATGGTTCTAACACAGCAAAATGCTTCGTCATTTTTCGAAATAATCGCCGTCTTTGATCTGGTAGCGCGACTCATCTAGTAATGGGAACAGGATTTTGTGGTGTTATGTGTAGATGTATTTTTTAAAAGTTTATCTTTTTATTTATTTGTCTTGCTGGGTTGTTTGGTCCTCTAACGTGAGAACTGCTCCGAGCAGGGCACGCCATGGAGCTTGATAATACCTTCAGGAAGCGGGCCCGCGTGAGTGGTGTCATCGACGGATGCTCGGCCGGCGGCCCGGACCGGTTGAGCTCTCTGCCGGACTGCCTCCTCCATACCATCATGTCCTTCTTGAGAGCCCGGCAGGCGGTTCAGACATGCGTGCTGTCCACACGGTGGAGGCACCTCTGGCGCTCGGTGCCGTGCCTTGACATCGACTTTGATGAGTTCAACAAGGCGCCCCCTTCTAATGTCAACCGCATCTGTCTCTCCAGTAGCGACGACAGTTCTAGCTCCGAGAGTGATACCTCTGATTCTGACAGTGACAGATGGCTACCGCATCCTTTCAACAAGGACTGGGAGGATTTTGAGGATTTTGCTGTGACCCTGATGCGCCGCTGTAACATTGCACAATTGGATTCATTCCGGCTGAATATTGTTAGAAGCAGAGCTCCGGTGTTTGGCAATAGACTGGCAGCAGGATGGCTCCGTCGCGCCATGAAATATGACACCCCAGATCGTGCCAGTAAGCTGGGACTGAGCTCAGGTTCTTGGCGCCTCAAAAGGCTGCATCTCTGCCATGTACTTCTTGATGACCATTTTGTGAAGCGTGTTAGTTCAGTGTGCCACTCTTTGGAGGATTTGGAGCTGGACGATTGCAGTTGTCAAATTATGTCAATCACCTCCCAATCGCTGAAGACCCTGGTTCTTAAAAATGTCGATGGCACAGTCTTTCTGAGATTATATCGCCCACACTGAAGACATTGGTTATTGATGGTGGCTCAAATACTGCTGCCTGTGCGCTTGTTATCTTGGCCCCTGCTCTTGCATATCTGCATCTGGCTGTGGATGTTTATAGATTTTGTGGTGGTGTTTCATTAAACGAAGTGCCATCCGTTGGAAAGGCTTTTATTCATCTGCTGCAACACAAATATAATCATGCCAGAAGTAAACTTGATGGCGATCAATTCAAGCTTCTTTGTAGCATATCTAACTCGACAAATTTAGAATTATCGGGTGTCGGGACAAGGGTATGCCTTCGCCGTCTCTTGCAGTGTACTTTATTCACTCCAATAATGTTATGGTACTGTCTAATGTACTACAGGTGCTTGGTAAGGAACCCAGATTCCAAGAATTCAAGAACCTGAGGAAATTATTGCTGGACAACTGTGATCTCAGTGATAACTTCAGGACATTGGTATTCTTTCTTGGAGTTCTCCTATTCTTGAGAAAGTCACTTTGCGGTGCTGCAAGGTATACTGTTGTTTGGTTTTTAATAATTAACTAACGAACATAGTGCATTGTCTTACATCTTTTATGCTGGCTACAGTTCCCAAAATGTTCTAAAAGAGACATATGCCCATACGCAGCTTAGATCTCATCTTCTGAGCTCCGTGGACTGGATTTGCTGTGTGAGAACCTCAAGGTTGAAATCATATATAATGATGGCTATGGACCCCACCTTATGCGGCTTCTGCTGCACATTTCAGTGAATCTGTCGAAGAACAACATTAAACTCACTGAAGTTAATTAGTGTTTTTGTTATCCCATGCCTTCTATGTGGCATCTCACCAAATGGTTCATGTGGAATTTATGTGCACATTATAGGCTTCCTTCAGATGCACTAAATCGCAAGCCTATATGTTTGACTAATTTTAAGTGTTGACTATATATGCTATTGATTTTTACTCTCTTTCCTTGCTTAAGGATATGATTGCCTCTGTAAAATATCTGCTTTAAGCCCTATGTGCTGTACTGCTGTGTGTCAGTGTCGACTGCCCACCGTCCACTTACATGGACAAAGCTAGATTAAGTTCTTACATATTGGGAAACTGTCTCCTATTATAAAATATCACAAGCTTGAAAAATGGGTCTGGAAATAGCTTGTTTTCTTCTATTTTCTCCTTCCTGGATCTTCTGGGGACCAGGCAAAGGTACATACTTTCAAAACTATGCACCATCTTGAATTCATCAGCGTTTTTTGCCATCGCTGTTCAGTTATCTTGTGTATGGGTCCCCTACTTGTATGTCCAAAATATCTTGAGCTCCTCTGCTTTAACATGCATGTCCTTCTATGTGGATGCTTGCCTTATGGTTCAGACGTGGAATTTACATGCATATTATGGGTTGCCTTCAGATGCACTAAATGGCAAGCGTATACTTTTGACCAATTTCGAAGTGATGCAGGTCTTTGCTCTTTTGACTGTATATGCTATTGATTTTTAGCCTTTTTAACTTGCTTCTGGTGCTTTTAGCTCTATGTACTCTTTTTTCCTTGATGTTCGCTTCTGTGTGTGCTTGACTGCTTTCCTACTGAAATGTCGCCAATTATAAAACATGACAATCTTGAGAAATGCTCCGGAAATCGCATGTTTTCTTCTGTTATTTTCTCCCTGGGGCTCTTTGGGATCAGGCAGAGAGCTACATGAAAACTATACACCAACTCAAATTCATCAGCGTTTTTGTCATCACTATGCAGATATCTCCTGTATTGGTCCCCGTCATGTATGTGCAAAATATCTTGAACCCCTCCGCTTTGACATGCATACCCTCTCAACTTAACTTGGAGATTTCAAATCGTATATTGATATCTTTCTTCTCTACTATCCCTATTTGAGGTTCTACTGACTACTGATGAACTGAAAACTTTGTGGTGACTACAGACGAACTGAATCCTCTAGCTGGCTCACCCTTTTTGCTTCTGCAATGCACAAGATGTGTGATCAAGTCCAGCGCAATTTGTGTGTTTTCTGTTCCAATTTCAGTTCGTTTACTCGTGCAAACAAACCTTATCATGTGCAAGGATAAGGATTTCAGTCGGTGAAACAAAATTTCAGTCAATAGGAACGCAAATGCGGGTGATGTAAGGATTTGAAAAGGCAACCAAATAAACCGATGGATTAGGAACCACGCAGTGCACCAAGCACCGGCCAAAGTGACCCACTGATAGTCTCAGGCGAAATAGGCCCTCTTTTACATCATTCTTTTTCACTCGTGTGATGGCAATGGCATTAGGCAAAGCAAACAGATCAATCACTGGGCCAAAGTGCAGCATTGTTTAGTGCTACTTTTTATACCCACATATATAAAAGTCATACAACATCACACCCAACAAGGCCACACCAAACACAGAGAACAAATCTGAACTTCATGGTTGCCAGTACACAACATTAGCATAAAGGCTCTGTGGGGCATGGCTCCACCTCACTAGCGAAGTTTTTTTTTTTTTTTACTTTGGCTCCATGAACAGATCTTTTGGTGGAGCCGTTTTGGTACCCTGTAGGACACGTGGACGCCTAAGAGGGGGGGTTGAATTAGGCAACTTAAAAAACTAACTCTAAACTATGACCTCTTTTTCTACCTCTAGCAAAACCTATGCAAAAGATAATCTATCTAGATGTGCAACCACGATTTTGCTAGTGTGTTGCTATCTCTACCGCAAATGATAATAATATGATCAATGTAAATGCGGAAGCTTAAAGAGCAAGGTAGAGATATGCAAACTCCCGTCGACGACTCTGGTATTTTTACCGAGGTATCGAGAAGCGCGCAAGCTTCCCCCTAGTCCTCGTTGGAGCCCCTCGCAAGGAATCCCTCGCAAGGGCCAAGCTCCCGGTCGGGTAACTCCGTGGATAGCCTCGGGCCTTCCCCACGCGCAAGTGGGTCTCCGATATGCCTTCCGGCAAGCCTCTCCCAGATGCTCCCCGCCGTCTTCACTATCAAGCTTTCGGCCGAAACGCCGCGGGCCTTGTTCCCTTCGGTACACGGTGGCGGCCGCACCACAAACGCGGTTGGTGCGATCTCGCAAGACTTCAAGCCCCTCCGATGTACAACACTTGTGCTCACAAGCACGGGGTGGCAAGAGGTATGCAAACCTCACTTAAACACTAGGCAAACACCTAGAGCAAGCGCATAAGCGGTGGTCTAATCAACCTAAGCACTTCGCAAAGCACTTATGCTAATCACCTAATAAAACACTAAGCACTATGCATGTGGAGATCACTCAAATGGTGTATCAACACTCTTGATATGTTTCCTCAGCTCCACACTCCTCAAATGGCCGGTTGGGGGGTTGTATTTATAAGCCCCACTGAGAAAGTAGCCGTTGGGGTCGAACTCCGGCAAATCTGCTACTGACCGGACGCTGAATCGTCCTGACCGGACACGTCCAGTCGTCCCGACCGTTGTAGCCGCGAACTACCGATCGGACGCTGCCAGCGTCCGGTCGCCTGCCACCGGACGCGTTCGGTCGCAGTTTCGCGCGCCTAGAACCTCTCTGTACTCGATCGGACGCTGCGTTCCTGCGTCCGGTCGGTTGCCGCCAGCGTCCGGTCCTTGCGTCCGGTCGCCTGTCTGCCGAGCCACCGGTCCAGCGTCCGGTCGCGCTTTTAGCGTCCGGTCCAGCGTCCGGTCGCCTCTGCGAGCTCGTTTCTTCGCGATCTTGCGCATGGCTTGGTTCCTATCTTCATGCTTGGACTTTGCTTGACATCTTGGGTCTTTTCTTGTGCTTCTAAGGTCTTTCTTGAGGTGTTGATCATCAGATCATCATGTTGCCTTCGTCCAAGTCACGTCTTGCACCCTATTGGACTACAAAACAAACACTTGCAAATTCATTAGTCCAATTTAGTTGTGTTGGTCATCAAACACCAAAATCCAAAGTAAATGGGCCAAGGGTCCATTTTCCTTACAATCTCTCCCTTTTTGGTGATTGATGACAACACGACCAAAGCAAGCAAATGATAAAATTTTAAATTTAAAAATTATCTACTTGCTAGGATGCAATGCAAAGGGCAAGGTTATATGATACTAATTGATAGATACCAATTAAAACTTTACTCAAAAGCATGTCTTGCCCTTGCAAATGTCCCCATGTGATATTATGGATTAAAGCCTATCTTTCAAAAAAAAAATTCCCATTACATAGACTAATCCATAACTAATCCATAATTCACTTTCCTCCCTTTCTCGGACCATTACCACTTGTAGACATCAACTTGATGCTTGCCTTTGGTCCTTCAAATTCTCCCCCTTTGGCATCAAACACTAAAAAGGAAGACATTAGTAGCACAAGGGAGGGTTAAATTTCATGATCCTTTGTGTATAGAGTGAAATGGATCACAAAATTTGACTCTCGCATTATATAGACTAAGCTCCCCCTAAATATATGCATACATATGGTAGAAAGCAAATTATATGCATAATTAGCAATTTGTTGCACAAGAGAGTTTAATCTATATAATGCATGGAGAAAGCATATAAATATGAAATGAAATCAACATGATGATGCTAATTGAAGAACGATGCTTCTCTTCGGGGGCTCCATTTTCCTTGCAATGAGACTACTACACACATGATAAACTTGAAAAAGGTGTTAGTCTCAAAGCGTCCATCTTGTAGATGATCCTCCCCCTAAATTTGTGCATGGAGACATGGAATACTTGTAGTACTCATGCACAATTGATTTTGGAGTCAAAATACCACTTGAAAGATGATATTTGGGAGAAAATTATCTACAATTTGGACTTTGGCACATATTAGATAAACAATAGTAAGACAAGCTATGTGCCGTGCTCCTTAGCAATTTTAAACCATGTAGGTTTGCTCCAAGGGTTAAGAATGAAACCGAGCAAGCCTACCATATGATATACCTAGTGTATGCATGACAAAAAATATAAGAATTCAAATGCAAACATAGGCATGCAAAGTAACTAGATGCTAAAAGGTACCAATTGTAGGAAAATTATAAATCTAATATCAAT